GTCCCTCAGCTCAAGGCTAGCGCTCTACCACTTGAGCCACAAGGCCACTTCCGGCTTTTTTCTTTTTGCTTATGTGGTGCTGAGGAATAGAACCCAGGGCCTCATGCATGCAAGGCAAGCACTCTACCACTGAGCCACCTTCCCAGCCCCTATAATTGGGTATTGTAAGTGCTATTCACAACTTGTAAACTGAGGGTTTTGTACCAACTATAGCAAGAATTTTTCTATTTTCTTTTTTTTTTTTGTCGGTCATGGGGCTTGAACTCTGGGCCTGGGCGCTGTCCCTTAACTCTTCAGCTCAAGGCGAGCGCTCTACCACTTGAGCTACAGTGCCACTTCCAGTTTTCTGGTGGTTTATTGGAGATAGGAGTCTCACAGTCTTTCCTGCCCGGGCTGGCTTTGAACCTCGATCCTCAGATCTCAGCCTCCTGAGTAGCTAGGATTACAGGCGTGAGCCACCAGCGCCCGGCTCTATTTCTATTTTCATGTAAAAAAATTCATGTAAAAATTTATAAAACTATTAGCTTTCATAAATTGACATGAACTGAAACCCCTCTGTATGTGAAAAAAAAAATTGTGCTGTTCCTGGGGCTTGAACTCAGACCTTAGGCACCATCCCTGAGCTTTTGTGTTCAAGGCTAGCACTCCACTACTTGATCCACAGTTCTATTTTCAGATTGTTTTGGTGCTTCATTGGAAATAAGAGTCTCATGGACTTTCCTGTCCTGTTGGTTTTACACTGATCCTCAAATCTCAGCCTCCTGAGTAGCTAGGATTTACAGGTTCGAACCACTGGCACCCCACCAAAGAAAATATAAACATTTTATTTTAATTAAAAAGATTTTTTAAGCTGCCAAATCTCAGCTAGGCACTGGTGGCTCCTGCCTGTAATCCTAGCTACAGAGGAGGCTGAGCTCTGAGGATCACTGTTCAAAGCCAGGCCAGAGAGGAAAGTATGTGACACTCTTCAACTAAGACAAGAGAACCGGGGAAGGGGTAAGCAAATGCAGTCATTATAGTCAATGTACGGTATGTAAAAACTGAACTGGGTAACCTGAGGGTAGGATGGGGAAAAATGACGGAAGAAGCCTCATGGATCTTCGAAGATGCACAGTACTCATAACCTGAGCACCCTAAGGCGCTGTAATCTTTGTGCAAACTACTGCCCGATGAAAACTACAAATGCAAAATGCTACTAAAGCTGCTTAGTGGTCCTGGTGGGGATCCTGGGAGGCGTCTGGCTGGCAGGGGTACCAAGCCCACTGGACCAAGTGATTGGACCACCAGAAGTGGTTGGCTGCATCGAATCACCCCAGCTCCGCGGGGCCTACTTCCGGCTCTCAACTGCGATGTGGACAAAGTGGAGCACCGCAGGTGTGTGTGTGTAATGCGTGAGCGCCCCTGCGCGGCGCCCGGTACCTGCGTCCGAGGGAAGCACGGTGAGCGGGACGTCTTTGGTTTCAATTTTCACCGAAGGCTCCAGCAGGGACTGCATTTTAATCGGCACCGGTGTGAGGGGGACTTTGGTCAGACGGATCAGCTCTGAAGGCGGAGGTCCCTGAAACTGGATGCGGGCCCCGGGGGGGACGGTGTGGAGAGTCAGAGGGAGCCTGAGGTCTTGCTGGTGCGGCCCGAAGGCGCTGGGGGGCTGAGCCAGGATGACCTCCTTGCCGCCGTGGATCAGGCCATTGGCCAAGGCCTCCGGGCCCAGCCTGAAGTCCTCGTGGAGCCGGTCGGGCTCCTCGGTTTTGATGAGGCCCTCTCCGATGGCCACCAGGGCTCGGCCTTCCCCGCCTTTCGCATCCCTCAGGACCTCCTCCACCTCCAGCTTGGCCTTCTTCTCCTCTCCGCGGCGGCCGTCGAGCGCCAGCCCGGCGTTGTCCATTCTGGCGGCCCTGACCGCTCTAGCTCCCGTCTCGATGACCCTCCGGGGTCCCAGCGACACCGCCAGGTCCATGCCGCCGGGCCCCGGCTCGGGTTTCTCGGCCTTGACCTGCAGCGCCCGGGGCGGCCCGGGGCGGGACTCCGGCCTGCAGGGGGCG